GTAGTTCTATAGTTAAGTTCCTTCTATGTAGTCAGCATTGTACTATATAGTATCATCCAGCAGCTATGAAATACTACTGTAGTTCATAGAAGTGCTAATATAGGCAAATACCAACAGCTATATAGTACGCAAAAGAACCAATAGTTTGTCAGAGTGCATAGCAACCAGCAGCTAAATTGCACACAAAATAACCTAATAACAACTGAATTCAAGTACCTAATACACAAAATAGTATAGTATAAATGTCTTAATCAATCCTACTCTTCATCTACACCTATAAGCCCATTACTTTTGCTATAAGCCTCTACATCCTCCTCTTTATCTGTATCTACAAGCCTGTCATTCTCACTATGAGCCTTTGCATTATTCTGCTCCTTCAGCTAATACTCTCAAATGGCATCTTCAAAGGTGTTATTCTCAGTGTGGACCTGGAACATATAGTGGCTTAAAAAAGTGTCTAAATGTTTATTATTTTTCATGTGTGTCATATCCCGTATTCCAGACCTACGTCCAACAATATTCCCACGCCTCATCCAGACCTTTGGACACCTTATCCATGTCTCCAGTCCTCTACCCATCCGGATCCCTGCACCTCTGCACATCCACAGCCATACATCCACATCCAGATCCCTTTACCTCTGTACATCAGACCTCCATACCTCCACAGCTAACCTGCTTCATTCATCCTTTGTCCCATTGCCCTAATATCATATCCCATATATCCACACATCTCGTCCAGACCATATCCGATCTGATCTGATCTGATCCAATGTATAGATCTGTTTCCTATCTGATATACGATAAGCTTCTTAATTCAATTCCTGTGCATATAACGTTAACACAGCCTATCTGGTATTCCTTGTTCCCGGTACCTCGGTTATACTTACTACCGGTATGCTTACTGATCCATTAACCTATGCTTCATTTCCGACTCGCGTTTGATAACTTTGCTTATGCTTCGTACATAGCCTCGGACCTTTGCTTACGGATCTTTCCTGCAGTCCTCCGGACCTATTCTGCTTTGGACTTTGTCCTTGCAGCCTTTCCTCTGTTTACTTCTACTCAGGACTTGTCCTGAGTAGCCATTATACATATCCGTATCAGGATGAAACCTCATCGTAATTTCTGGAAGTTCCTCCGGAACTTTCCTGCACTCATCCGGAAGTTACTTGCACCCATCCGGAAAGTCCTTCTGAAGTTTCCCGCGCCTTTGGATGTCCTTCGGACGTCTTCAGACACCAATCTGAAATTAAGGGCACATACTCGGGTAAGGGGCACAGCGCATGAGCTGAAGCCAAGCCCCTCAGAATCAGTCCTACCCTTTGTACACAGTCTTAATAATGTGTTAGGATGTGGGAATATAACTATACTATAGGGTGATGTTAAAAAAATCTGCATCTCAGCTTTACTTTTGTGTCCTGTAGTGTGGGAGGATAATGATATTGTGTGAAGATATGACTATTTTAAAATGACAACTCATTTAAACACTATTTGACTTTGACTTTGACTAATGCAATTTCTACAATTCTAGTACTTTGTGTGACCTCCTTTTGCCCTAATCATCTCTGCCGCTCCTCTAGAGATATTATTTATCAATTTTGGATATTTCTTCTTAGTAATCTTATTACACTTTGCTGTAACACTGTTCCATAGCTAAAATAGCCCCTATGGTGTATCTTAATATGCTATAAGCAATTTCTTGAGTGATTCCCAAAGATATTCAATAGGGTTGATGTCTTGGATCTGTGCTAAACATAATAGAATAGTAGTATTATGGTCCTTAAGTTATTTGATAGCTAACTTGGAAGGTTGCTCTATATGATTCATAATCTCTATATCATTGTATTCTAATTTGGCAGGCTGCTAATGTTACTAAGGCCACCAAATTGATTATTTCCATCATCTCTATAACTATTCCTACTCAAATAGTCAGTAAGACTCTCAAAATAGCTAATATTAAAGCTGTAACCCAGAAAAAAAAACCTTTGATCTCCAACCTATGAAAAGAGAAGATTAACTGCTGTTAAAAAAATACTAGACTGCTGATGGCTGACAGAGGGTTATCTGTTTAGATGAAACTAAAATCAATAGAATGAGATCAGGTAACTAATGTAGCACTTGGGCTCATGTTGGGCCTGTATCAGGCTATTTTACAAAGCATGTCAAATGTCATTTCATCCAAATATATTTCTAGCTGTCTGATTTGGCATTCATTAGACCTAAACATCGGATTCATCAGGTTTCACATTGGCCTATCAGAAAATGTCCACTCTATATCCTGTCCTATTGTATCTATCTCCACTAGGTGTGCAGTTATTCATTTTCACATTGCTAACATTGTAGACTGTGTTATTACATAGTACAGAAGGCAATTCCCTCCATCAGACCATTAGTGTGATATCACATACTGCACGATTAACCACCAAGAGTGGAAGCAAGTGCTGATGACTGTGAGGGTTGCTGTAAACTAACTCACACATTGTAAGTGTGATTTCATATGTGAGAGACATAAAGTGCAGGTCCTGGGATGTGCTACTTAACTCAGTATTTAACCCAGCCAGTATCTGTAAAAGAACTCATCTGTGATCCGAGGTGGTTCTTGTGAGGTGCCAATTGTGACAGGGAGATTAATAAACTCACTACAAACTTAATAGGTTGTTACTTGAAAACAAATACAGACGATGAGTCTAGTTCTTATAGGGTCGATGAAGTGCATCCATTGGTTTGGGATGTCACTGATCCTGGTATACAGGATATGTACCTGGTGGTAAAGTGTGCTGTTGGGACTGTATCAGGAGTGAGGCTTTAAAGGATACTACTAGATGGTACTCATCTTTGTTGTTGTGAACTATAGTATAACTTTTGGTTTGGTCCATAAAACAAAGCTCTTGGGGTAATGCTTCTTTTCAGATTCATAAAATGTTATGAATCAGTAAGAATTTATCCACTGGATTAACACACCCCGAATGCTAATAGTATTAGTAGCATACAATATCTGATGTAGCCCCGAGGGTCAGACAATGAGTAGGGGCTAATTGTAGAGTAATGTAAACATACCAGGCTCATGTGGTGCCTACCACTGTGCAAAGCATTTCACCTTAAGTAAACAAGAAGCTGTGTCAAAACAGAATTTATAGCTATCAGGAATGAGAAGTTTGCCTGGATACTGTGACATGATGTAGGAAATGAAGAAAGATGATATTACATAATCCAAAGAAGCTGCCCAATTTATAGGGATCTCTGATCTGTTAGAGACAAGTGTAATCAAATAAATATCCAAGATAATTTGCTTTATTGAATCAGATTCAACATTAACTAAACAATGATTGTATATTAAAGGATATCCATAATGCTAATTATACATGATGTCCATATACTAAATCTAAAATCCCTAAATGTGCTATACTTGGTCTACATGTGCTTAAAAGGTTCTACTAAACATACATTGTCAAAACCTATGGTCATAGTAAGCTTCAGCTTGATAGTGCAGTTCTTGATGTTGCACTTTGCAATGGTCCTTATTCCCTCTCAGTTCTGACCAACCATAATAAAACATTCTTGATTTTTCTTTTGTGGCTGAGCCAGAGTGAGACATTCAACAGGGATTTAGTAGTCCACCCTAGCACCTCCTGTAGTTTTGGCAGTGGCCCATGCTAAGATGTGGCCTGGAGGACCATTGGGCCCGCTGTAGAGACTCATGCCTCTCATGGTCTGATATGGCAGTTTTCACTAGGGAGTATATTACACGAACTTGCAGCACCACTTTGTGTGCTATCTGTAGCTATCCCTATATAAGGTGCAGCTTTCCTGTGCAATGTGTGCCATGTGCACACACTTCCCACACTTCATGATATATATGCACGCACACTTTCCCGTGCTTGAGCACCCTATAGCACCAGCCATCCAGAAGCATCCATCCACTGTCCACCAAGCTCTCTAGTGCGTGTATTTCCATTTCCCTTATTTGCATATTGTTTCACCTTATTTTTATCATGGACCCTTACTTATATATATCTTTACATACCTTACTCGGTAGCGCTTCAGCTCTGCATGACAGTGCTTAGGTGCCATATTTAAGCGCCAGCAGTACATACATACCTTACTGCACTTCTCATCTACTTGAAACCTTTCCACCAACCTCACCTTACTGAACTTTCCAACCACTATCTACCTAGCAGAACATAGTAGAAATCTATTCTTTGGCACATCATATCTCACATTCCTTGTCTTACATTATATCATCACTTAAGCGAACTCACTCTTACTCTCTCTCATTTCCACATACACGCGCGCACTTTCCCATGCTTCGTGCTATACACGCGCGCATTCCCACGCTTTGCGCGCACCTGCGCTTTCTTGTGCTTCATATTGGCCAACCAGTAGCGCCTTCAGCGCATATTTCTAGATCTTTGCTGTACTCACTTCCCCTTTAGGGTCGAACACACTTGTTGTCTCAAGTATAGCAGACTAGGCAATGCACGACCTTACAACACTTATAGATACAGTCTGGAGCCTCATTTGCACTTCGCTGTATAGTTTTTTCTACACCGCAGAATGGATTGGGACAGTGACTATACACTAACTGCTTGAGTAACTTGCTGCCTTGGAAACCTGCTGAGACATTAAAGAGTGTGTGGTAGTCATGGAACTGTAAGGCATGTTCCTTCAGCCAGCAAATTGGGTCTATAATAAGAGTGAGTGCCACATTATGATGAATATCAGATTACTAACCATGTGGTTTTGGTGGGGTCGGTTCAATGACGGTATTCTTCTGTTAAAGGTTTGGCATTGTCATTTTGCAAAGACATCACAGTAAGGACCTCTAGGGACCAGGTTTCCCAGGTGATGGCTGAACCAGAGGCAAGAGTGGAGGGTGTTATTCTCTTGAGTAGAGGGGTAACACTTCAGGGCAGTGCTGTTACATATGACTGTTTAATCAGCAACTGTGGCTATCCAAATGTTAACCTGATGAAACAAAAAAATGATAGAAATAGAATGACTCAGTTGGTGGCAATGTCAGAGTATCTGACAGTTATGCATGATTGACTGTGGACAGCAATGATATAGGTATCTGTAGATAAATCATAGAGCATTGCCCAAAAGCCCTTTTTTTGGCCTCCAATGACAAAAACATCCTTCTTCATGTACTTTTTGAATGCATCAAGGTCAATGTTGTGTGTCTTCATGATGAATCAGATGGGAACTGTGACCTGCAAAAAGTTAGAGTTATTTTGTGTGAGTAAAGTCATACTTATCTGTTGTTCATTGTCAGTCTCTAAGGTTAATTGAGTGCTGATGAAGTCCACACTGCATACCACCCCCTCTGTGTGAAATTCAGGTCCATGAGCAACACTAACAACATCTCCAGGTCTGACATCATAAATGCACTCCTTGGTGAATTTGAGGATAGCTGGAAGGTGGGTGCATTCGACTATCACGGCTTCAACTTGGATGAAAGGCAGAGCTATGTGACTGCTAGTGTCATTCATCAACAGCTCCATCTCATCCTGGAACCAAATGAGGACATTTAATGCCCATTGCACAACCCCACTCTTTCCTATCCAATCTCCAACTAAGACTTGGACAAAGTCACTGATTTTGATGGACCTCGACTCTTGTGGGGGGTTGATGTATGTTGGAATCAACATGTGGACTTGCAGAGTGTGATCAATCAGACGATACTCCAAATAATACTTGGAGACCTCAACCTAAGCAATATGTTAGAAAGAATTGTACTACAAAGGAGATTTTATAATGCACCTGTTCCTGTGTCCCAGTGTAGAGACTAATATCTCTGTGGGCTTGCAGGGATCTAAATTCCCAATGTCTCTATCACTTCCTAACATAGCACAACTCATATCTCACCCAGCACACTCAAGCACTTTGTTGGCTGCTCACACACACAAGCACTTTGGTCACACATCGGTGTGCGCATCCTCGGTTCCATTGCTCATCCTCCGTCCATCCATTCCATGTCCATTTGGTTTGTTGGTGCGTATTCCTGACTTATTTCCATTTATCCTGACATATTTCCAGTGCTTATTGCCATATTCTGTCATGAACCCTTACATTACATATTATTCCATATCTGCTTCACTTCTCGGTTCGCTTGAGTGCTTGACAGCGCTTAGTATTACTTAGTATATATACATGTGCCTAAACTGTATAATGATCATTTTTCTGCCTGCACATTGTTGGACTCTAAGTCTAAGTTTTCCTTCATATCTATCAACCAAACTTTAAGTATCTAAGTACAATATGAGCACCCGCCGCCGTACATTACTAGAGAAACTCTGTCAATTAGTTTTCTAACTCCTTAAGAGTCACTGTGCTCCACCACCCACATGCGCGCACTGCTTCCACTCAATGCACACTTTCATTATAAGTCATGTGTCGTCATTTATCGCCACCTGCCATCGCTCATCAATGCTTCATGTCACTTTCACTCGCTAGCACTTCACTCATTGTCACGTGCCTTACTAGGCTTGACCAAGTGCCTGGTCCAGTGTTTCCCTCCACTTATACACTTAGAGGAACCTTCTCAGTAGCAATCCCCTTGGGTCGACACATATCTCGCTTATTGAGGACTACTTGAGTATATCTCAAACCATCATATAACCCCACTACCAATTTCTCTTCTACACTGGGCTGACAAATGCAAAAGATATCATTGTTTCTTTAGACAACATGGCCTTGCAGCCCTAAGTAATCTCCAGCTACAACTTGAACTTTATCACCAACCTTAAAGATGGGCACTATGTCCTGGAGCCTAGCTTCCACCTCCTTCATCAGGAAACCTGGATTTTCCATGATTTGGCTGAGATGTCTGATAGCAAGCCCACCAGGCAAATCAAACAATCAGCTCATCAGATTTTGTCTGATTTCAGGCAGGTCCCATTCTGAAATCAGACCATTCAGAGCCATCAGACAGTCAGTTGTTCAGACATGCATTTCATCTAAACCATCATGCTGATCAGATACCTCAGCTGATCAGATTGACAGGTGCTCAGAAATGTCAGCTTATCATGGCTCTCATGATAAAGATAAAAATAATAATAATAATTGCACCTGATGAGATTTGAACTCTCAACCTACCAGAGTCAAAATCTGTTTCTCTTGGACAGCGCAGGTTTGAAACCTGCTGATGATAATATTTTTATTTGATGAAAATGCACCTTGACATATACATTGAGGATTCACTTCTGACTGGACTCATTAGAAGTGCATCTGACTGGTCTTAGCCAAGCAGTTGATACGACAGAATCCAAATCTGTCTGCGTGGGTTCAAAACCTGCTAAAGATGAAATTATCAAGTGATCATCAGAGTCAAAATCTGTTTCTCTTGGACTGTGCAGGTTTGAAACCTGCCAGTGATGGCATTTTTATTTCATGAAATCACACCTTGACATTTTGTCATGAATGATATGTGTCTTGTAGGAGCATGTTTAGTGAGGCATATGTGCCTGTGTTTCTGGTTTTTGTAACTTAGCTTTCTACAGTGCACTACCACTGTATGGTTTGTCATTATGAGCCATAGATAGTAGCTATTAGAATATAATAATCAAGAAGTTGACAGAAGAACCAAGAAGAAAAGTCAGACTGGACATCTGTATAGTTTTGGAAACTACAACCACTTGGCTGAACACAACTCTGACGAGCTTGTAAGCAAGCCAACCATGAGCATATGTAAAGGTGTGGTTTCATAAAAAATGAAATTTATCATTGGCAGGTTTCAAACCCGCACGGTCCAAGAGAAACAGATTTTGACTCTGATGATCACTTGACCATTTTATCTTTAGGAGGTTTTGAACCCACGCAGACAGATTTGGATTCTGTCACATCAACTGCTTGGCTAAGAACAGTTAGAAGCATCTTTAAAGAAGACATTCAGAAGTTAGTTCGCAAGGCAAGTCCACTGTTCTCTGTCACTTACAATGTTTTCCCTCAGCTGAACAGATGAATTAAATATAGACTGCAATACAGCACTTTCAAAAGCAAGAGGAGAGCAACATGATAATGAAAGGGTCTCAAACACAGTGCACCTCAACCTTATGTATGAGCAAATAGTGGTCAGATGGCTCTTTTGAATCTTTGCCTTGAATCTCAGCCTTTACAGAGGTGTATTTCTTCCTCATTACCCAGGTCATTGGGATTAAACTTGAAAGTTTGATGTGTAATCTGCTCTTCTTCTTCAACCAAGTCAAGACTTTTGGAGAGAATTAAATTGCTCTTGTGCTTATCATTCTGAGTTTGCATCAAGACTTTGGTCATATATTGAACTTTGCATCAAGGATAACAGAATAAACAGCGACCATGCTATTGAAAGAACTGACAAAATGCAGATGAATGTGCCTTGAGGATTCACTTCTGAATGAGTTCATTAGAAGTGCATCTCACTGGTCTTAGTCAAGCAGTTGATGCGATGGAATCTAAATCTGTTTGTGTGGGTTCAAAACCTACCAAGAATTAAATTGCCAAGTGATTACCAGAGTCAAAATCTGTTTCTCTTGGAATGTGCAAGTTTAAAACCTGCCAATGATAACATTGATATATGTTTTTTTTCCTGTTAGAACACATCTTGACATAGACTCATGTGTACTTTCCTGAGAGCTTCATATCACTGGTCTTAGCCAAGTAGATGTTGCAACAGAGTCAAAATCTGTTTCTTTCAAACCATGCAGGTTCAAAACCTGCTTGCAAAATATTTTGCAGTGTATAGATTCTCAGAGACCCAAGTGCAAGAAAATAGGGACAGTTAGACATTTTGAAGTATTCATCAAAGTGATATCATTCGTGTCTGTTTTATCTTTTTCAATGCAGCCCAGGTGTTACTGCTTTGCACTAGTTTTGCAGCAGAATGTAGCGAGAATGCTTCTCTTGCATCTATACATTATGGTCTGTAGCTGGGTGTACCCTTCAGCATGACATAAAAATAAAATGATGAAAATATACTAGCAGTATTGGATTGGACAATAGATGGACATGTAATGTAGGGTGCACACAAAAATGCAGTGCTTGATATGGGACAGGGTGTGATTTCATAAAATAAAAATGTCATCATTGGCAGGTTTTAAACCTACCAAGTCAAGAGAAACAGATTTTGACTCTGATGATCACTTGCAATTTCATCTTTGACAGGTTTGAACCTGCACAGACAGATTTGGATTCTGTCGTATTAACTGCTTGGCTAAGACCAGTTAGATGTGCTCACAATAAATCCATTCAGAAGTGAATCCCCAAGGTATATTTATCCTGCATTTTGTCAGTTTTAACATTAATTTCTAACATCCCCCTTGAGTCCAACCATGTGCAATCCTTCCATTGTCAGTTGTCACTCAACCCACCGATGATGATATTTTTATTCTATGAAATTAAACCCTGATATTTCCTCATGGATAGTTTTCTTCAAAACCCATCATAAATGCTCTTTTCCACATCGTTACCACAATAGATTCAAAATATGTTTCAATCAAAGCCTACAGGTTTACAATAAGTCCTAGTTCAGAAGTTATAAAAGTCAAAATCTGATTTTCCTGGACTGAGCAGGTCAAAAACATGTATCACTCAGCATATTTCAAGCATGCATGGTCCAAGAGAAACAGATTTTGACTCTGACGATCACTTGGCTATTTAACATTTGGTAGGTTTTGAATCCACACAGACAGATTTAGATTCTGTTGTAATGACTGCTTGGCTAAGACTAGTGAGATGTACTTCCAATGGACTCAATCAGAATTGAACCCTCAAGGCACATTTATCTGCATTTGACCACCATACAAATGGTGGAATGCAATGACTCATGAGCTTGCATTCAAGGCAAGTTTTAAGCCTGCTTGGTTTAACAGAAATAGATATAGAAAATGTCCATGGGCAAATGATTACTCAGAGGGATTTAGGATTGACAAAGACAGACCTTCAGAGTGTGTAGAGTTCAAAAAGCATGCAGACCAGAGTCATGGCAATGACATGGCTAAGATCATTTAAGATAAGTTTCTCAGAAAACCAGGTGTGTTTTTATAGAAAATAAAATTTATCATTGACAGATTTTGACTCTGATGATCACTTGGCAAATTCATCTTTAGCAGGTTTTAAACCCATGCAGACAGATTTATATTCTGTCATATCGACTACTTGGCTAATACCAGTTGAATGCACTTGCAATGAACCCAATCAAAAGTAAAAGCAGTTCTTTCAATAGTATGGTTGCCATGATTGATTTTTTATTTATTTTACTCTTATTGCAAAAGACATCAGACTTCTTCTGGGGCTCTTGACTTCAAGACCTATTTATCTAGCAATTGCTCTGAAAAAGTGCTGATGACAGACCACCATAGTGGGCCGATGATATTTGTGATGTCTTGGGATATTAACAGCTGGGTCATGAGTGAAAACTGACAATGGAAGGATCATATATGATTGGACTCAAGGAGGATATTGGACTCAAGCAGGATATCAGAAACTAATACTAAAACTGACAAAATGCAGTCAAACGTACCTTGAGGATTCACTTCTGAATGGGCGCATTGGTAGTGCATCTAACTGGTCTTAGCTAAGCAGTTGATCCAACAGAATTCAAATCTGTCTGCGTGGGTTCAAAACCTGCTAAAGATGAAATTGCAAGTGATTATCAGAGTCAAAATCTGTTTCTCTTGGACTGTGCAGGTTTGAAACCCGCCAATGATAACATTTTTATTTTATGAAATCACACAACCAGTGAGATGGTGCTCTCAGGAAAGTACACATTTGTCCATTTTGAGGTGTGTTCTAACAGGAAAAACAACATATAGATCAGTGTCTGAGATGCTGTGTATGAGGAAATAAATATTCAAGACACGTTCTAAGAGAAAAAAATGCAACATTCAACAGGTCTCAAACCTGTTGCATTCCAATGGAAGCAGATTTTGATTCTGTGATGACAACCACTTGGCTAAACATAACTCTGATGAGCTTTTGAGTAAACCAACCATGAGCATATATCAAGGTGCATTTTTATAGAAAATGAGAATTATCCTTGGCAGGTTTCAAACCTGTACGGTCCAAGAGAAACAGATTTTGACTCTGGTGATCACTTGGCTATTCAACATTTGGTAGGTTTTTAACACACACAGACAGATTTAGATTCTGTTATATTGACTGCTTGGCTAAGACCAGTGAGATGCACTTCCAACGAACTCATTCAGAAGTGAAACCTCAAGGCACAAAAGTTCAATGTATGACCAAAGTCTTGATGCAAACTTGGAATGATGAGTACAAGAACAATTTAATTCTCTTTAAAGGTCTCGACTTGGTTGAAGAAAAAGAGCAGATTACACATCAAATTTTCCAGTTTTGATTTTAATGACCTGAAGAAGTTCTGAGATAAAGCAGAAGTATTTAGACAATAGTGCAACATTCTGCGCTTAGATGCTTTCAAGTGCTCAGTATCAAATAGCAGTTATAGCGTATTTTAGACTTTGAGTCCCACAATATGCAAGATGGTGGTGAAAAGTTGTTCAGAGTCAAAAGATACATAATGCTATATAAGTAATTCTAAGTGTGTTCTAAGTGTGCAGAAGCAAGTCAGAAGCGCAGAAAATAGGCAAAAGTATGTAAGTTGCTTCTGAATAAGTTCATTGGAAGCACATTCAACTGGTATTAGCCAAGCAGTTGATATGACAGAATATAAATCTGTCTGTGTGGGTTCAAAACCTGCTAAAGATGAATTTGCCCAGTGATCATCAGAGTCAAAATCTGTTTCTCTGGGACTGCTCAGGTTTGAAACCTGCCAGTGATAAATTTTATTTTCTATGAAAATGCACCTTGAAAAATTTGCTCGTGGTCAGTTTGCTTGCAAGCTGATCACAGTTGTGTTTAGCTAAGTGACTGTCATAACAGAATCAAAATCTGTTTCCATCAGAGTGCAACAAGTTTGAAACTTGAACTTGTCGAATGTCGCATTTTTTCTCTAAGAACGTGTCTTGAATATTTGCTCATAGACAGCATCTCAGAAATTGATCTTCATTGGTCTTGGTCAAGTTGTCACCAGATTTAAAATCTGTTTCTCTTTGACTGTGCAGGTTTAAAAACAACAACATTTCTATTCTATGAAATCCAAAATGGTGGAATGTGATGAATCACAAGTTAATGCAAAAGACACATCATTATATATATTACAAACCTGCTTAGTCCAAGAGAAATATATTTTGATTCTGGCAATCACTTGAATAAGCACAATAAAGAATCTCAGCCTTAATAGATTTGTGTTTTTCCTAATTCCCCAGGTTATTAGGATCAAATTTGAAAGTTTGATGTGTAATCTGCTCTTTTTCTTCTTCAACCAAGTCAAGACCTTTAGAAAGAATTATATTGTTATTGTACTTATATCCTTCTGAGTTTGCATCAAGACTTTGGTCATATATTGAACTCTGTGTCAAAAATACACTGTGTGATCCTTTCATTGTCAGTTTTCACTCATGAACACACCATGGTGGTCTTCCATCAGCACTTTTTTAGGGAAATTGTTAGACAAACAGGTCTTGAAGTCAAGACCCCCAGCAGGAAGTCTGTGTCTTTTGCAATAAGAGTAGCATAAAAAATCAACACTGACCATGCTATTGAAAAAGCTGATAAAATGCAGATAAATGTACCTTGAGTACTCACTTTTGAATGAGTTCATCGGAAGTAAATCTAACTGGTCTTAGCCAATCAGTTGATATGACAGAATCTAAATCTGTCTGCATGGGTTCAAAACCCCCTAAAGATGAAACTGTCAAGTGATCATCAGAGTCAAAATCTGTTTCTCTTGGACAGCGCAGGTTTGAAACCTGCTGATGATAACATTTTTATTTGATGAAAATGCACCTTAACAGTCTGAAACCCATTGAATGCTGCATATTTTTTATTAGAACATGCCTTGAATATTGAATCATAGACAGTCTCTGATATCATTGATAGAGAGTGACTCGGACAATGTTCAACAGTTGGCATGAATCATAAAACAAGTTGCTGCAAGGCTAGCAGTGGAACATGGTTTCATACACCAGCTTTGAGTTTTTTTGGTTTCTCTTCCAAGAAAGTCATAATGCCACCAGAAATTTGAGGCCTTCCAATTCATTTTAAGATTCATGTGTAAAATGCGAAGGTGTGATTTCAGAGAATAAAAATAAAAATGTTATTGTTGATAGGTTTTAAACCCGCACAGTTCAAGAGAAACAGATTTTGACTCTGGTGACAATTTGACTAAGACCAATGAAGATCAACATTTGAAATGCTGTACATGAGCAGATATACAAGACATGTTCTAATACAAAAAATGTGTCAGTATCAACTGCTTGGCTAAGACCAGTGAGAGGCACTTCCAATGGACCCATTCACAAGTGAATCCTAAAGGCAGTTCTTTCAATAGCATGAAGGATCACATATGATTGGACTCAAGGGGGATGTTAGAAATTAATGTTAGAGCTGACAAAATGCAGATAAATGTACATTTAGGATCCACTTCTGAATGGATTCATTAGGAGTGCATCTAACTGGCCTTAGCCAAGCAGTTGATGCAACAGAATCCAAATCTGTCTGCATGGGTTCAAAACCTGCTCAACATGAAATTGTCAAATGATCGTCAGAGTCAAAATCTGTTTCTCTTGGACTGCTCAGGTTCAAAACCTGTGAGTGATAACATTTTTATTTTATGAAATCGCACCTTGACATTGACTCATGTGTACTTTCACATTGTAGCTTGCACTCCCAAACACCTGCTTCATATGAAGAAGAAGAGCAGATTGCGCATCAAACTTTCAAGTTTGATCCTAATAACCTGGGGACTGAGGAAGAATACACATCTGTAAAGGCTGGGATTCAAGGCAAAGATTCAAAAGAGCCATCTGGCCACCATTCACTTATGTGCAAGGTTGAAGTGCACTGTATTTGAGACCTTTCATCATTATGTTGCTCTTCTCTCGCTTTTTGAAAGTGTTTGTATTGCAGTCTGTATTCAATTCATCTGTTCAGCTGAGCAAAAACATTGTGAGTGACAAGGAACAGTAGACTTGCCTTACAGATTCACTTTTGAATGTTTTCTTTGACCGACGATCGTCCAGATTGGATGGATGATTACTCCATGTGATCTAGGGTCCAAAGTCTGGAAGAGAAGTGTGGATATATGATATATGACAGTATCCCCCCCTTAGGGCCAATCCATAGAGGCACAAGAACCATCAGTCCAGACTGGACAAAATTAATGCAAGATGATAGAGAAGTTGTGGGGGGAGTTTCTGAGTTCAGAATCGGACAGATATACACAAGGCAGGGTGTCCTAGATTGATTCTTCCTTTCCCACTTTTTCACCCTCTATAACACTCTATCAGAATATGTCTGGCAACACCTGCAGATCTCAGACAACCACTAAGCAGAAACTGCTAGAACTTCAACAGCAACTGGCGGATGCAGAAGCTGTGGCTTGGATGGAGGAAGAAGAGAATCAGAAGTGTCAGGAGGAGGAAAGAAAACATCAGGAGGAGTTGAGGAAGATTGAGCAGGCCAAAATCCAAAGGGAAGCAAAGGAGAAAAGGTGCAGGGAAATAGTAGCAGAAATGGTGAGTTTCAGATGGTTATGATGGATTTTCCTAACAGATGAGAATGGAATGCGGCCAGAGTGTTAGTGAGACCTTCCGGCATCACCAACCATTGTAACGGGTAGGACTGCAAGGGGAACCAAGGCCAAACCTCTATAGCAGGAGGCTACAGCGCTGTCTATCAAGGACAGACTACGACACACACGAGGACTACTGACTACGAGCTAGGACACCTGCCACTCCTGTCTTGTCCTGCCAGAGCACCCCACTCCATATGCCACCCCTCCAAATGCAACCATCCGCGGTTGCACAATGAAAGATGAATGTGCGAGAGTGCGAGAACCTGCGCAAGACCACCACCCTGGTACACCTCCCCCCTCTCCAAATGCAACCATCCACGGTTGTACCACAAACGATGAATGTGTGGCCGCAGTCCAAAAGTGACGAGAATGAGACGGCCAAACAAGACGGAGAGGATTTTGACAGCAGCAAGTAGGACAATGTGGTGTAGTATGATGAGAAAAATGATATGACGAATTGTCAAAGAATGTAGGATAGTGTCTTGAATATGAGTGATGTGGGAGTATTGTAAATACTGTGTGAGGGAGTTGAACTGCGGTCCACAAACGACGATGCCAGTACTGAAGACTGGACCATGGGTTGCGACAGGAAGTGCGAAGGGCTGAAAAGTTGCGTGTGGGATGGGTCTAAGCAACTGTATAGCACAAATTGTCTGCCCAAGTGGGCGGGAAGCATGAATGTTGGTGCTAGTGATTGGCGAAGGTGATGAATAGGATGGCAGCAGTATGGATGAGCTCCATGCCTTCAATTGTGCAATATCAGCATCCCAATGACTTACATTCTCCAACTTCTCGCGACTGCACTGGAGTTTGATGTTGGGGACCCACCGCACATCTTCGATAAACTCGTCCCATGTTGAGTATGTGCCAGTTAGATGGTCCTTGAGGAGGTTGGTGATGCCCTTAAGCGCATCCTCGATGAAATCTCCTTTCAAATCTCCCATACCCAAAGCAAGTTGTGAGACCTCGGTCGCCCACACAACATGTGCAATGTTGCCATCAGGCGTCAATACTCCAATATCACCCTCTTTCAGCGCTTGCGCAGCCACATGCTCTCTCTGCTGTGCGTGAGATAATTTGGGCAGTTTCGGAAGCGGCCACTGTTTGAAAAAAGCTATCTTAAGCGCCACAAATGTGGCGGTGTGCGCTGAATCGAGTGACTGGAACCACTCATCTGCCATTTGTCCAGGCATAAGTTGCATAGTGAAGCACTAGACATGCTGAGTGTCAGTCCATGCTGTTGGGAGGGAGAGCTGAAGTTGCATGAACCATGTAGGAGGTTCCTCATTGTCGCCATAGTCACCATAGAAGAGTGGAACAGGTTCTATAGACATGAATTTGAAATTTTCAGGGAATATGAGACTTGGTATGATGATGTGGCCAAGAGAATTTGCAAAATGAAATAAAAATGCGAGCACAAGGAATCGGAAACCAGGAGAAGTAGACAAGAGTGAAAAAGAGAAAATGCGAAAACCAGGGCTCAGTACTCAGATGTCAAGCACAGGGATCGAAAACCACTCTCATCACCAAATGTAACAGGTAGGACTGCAAGGGGAACCAAGGCCAAACCTCTATAGCGGGAGGCTACAGCTCTGTCTATCGAGGACAGACTACGACACACGCGAGGACTACCAACTACAAGCTAGGACTCCTGCCACTCCCGTCTTGTCCTGCCAGAGTGCCCCGCTCCACCATTCATAGGAGCCATAATGTGTTTGAAATGCAGTCTTCCATTCATCTCCTTCTGCTATCTGAACAAGGTGAGAAGCGGATCGGAGGTCAATTTTGGTATAGACTTTAGTGTGGCTCGGAGAGTCTAGAAGGTCGGCAATGAGAGGTAATGGATATTGGTCTTTCTTGATAATCTGGTTAAGTCCATGGAAATCCACACAGAGGCAAAGGGAGCCATCCTTTTTCTTGACAAACAGGACAGGAGCTCCATGAGGAGAGGATGAGGAACGGAGGAGACCAGAGGAAATGTTTTCATCAAGAAACTTTTGGAGGGCTGCAAGCTCAACTGCAGATAGGAATAAATGGTTCTGAGGGGCAGACTAGTTCCTTCCTCTAACTTGAGATCATAGAGATGATGAGGAGGAAGTTGGCTAGTGTCATATCCCATATTCCAGACCTACATCCGATAATATTCCCACACCTCATCTGGACCTTCGGATATCCTATCCATGTCTGCAGTCCTCTATCCATCTGGATCCCTGCACCTCCGCACATCCACATCCAAATCCCTTTACCTTCGCAGCTAGCCTGCATCGTTCACCCTTGTCTCATTGCCCTAATATTATATCTTGCATATCCATGCATCTCATCCGGACCACATCTCATCCGGTCTGATCCGATCCTATCCAACGTATAGATACATTTCCTATCCGATATACGATAAGCTTCTTGATTCATTTCCTGTGCATATAACGTTAACACAGCCTATCCGGTATTCCTTGTTCCCGGTACCTCGGTTATATCTATTACCGGTATGCTTACTGATCCATTAACCTATGTTCATTTCCGACTCGCATTTGTTAACCTTTGCATATGCTTCATACATAGCCTTGGACTCTGCTTATTGATCCTTCCATTATTTCTCTTAGTATATAAATTCGTGTATATGTCTTGTAGTACCTCAGTCTGAATATCATATTAGTCCTCGCACTAGTCTTCACTCTAAGTCCTCATATCAGTTCTAGTCTTCCAACTTAGTTGATATTCATCTCAGGCCTAGGGAGTTTCTCCCTAGGCCAGAGCTCTGCTCCTCTGCTCCTCTGCTCCTCTGCTCCTCTGCTCCTCCACTCATCCGAAGTTCCGGAAGTTCATCCGGAACTTTCCCGCGGTCCTCCGGACCTATTCTGCTTCCGACTTTGTCCTTGCAGCCTTTCCTCTGTTTGCTTCTACTCAGGACTTGTCCTGAATAGCCATTACACGTATCTGTATTACGACGAAACCTCATTGTAATTTCCAGAAGTTCCTCCGGAACTTTCCTGCACTCATCCAGAAGTTACTTGTACCCGTCCGGAAAGTCCTTCTGAAGTTTCCCGCGCCTTCGGACATCTTCAGACTTTCTTCGGACACCAATCTGAAATTAAGGGCACATACTCGGGTAAGGGGCGCAGTGCACGAGCTGAAGCCAAGCCCCTCAGAATCAGTCCTACCCTTTGTGCATGGTCTTAACAGCTGGCTTTGCCCTTGTCAAACACATTCGTAAATTCATGATATTCCAGAGGAATTGTGGATAGGTCTGGAGGATCGGATGAAAGGGTAATGGACTGGAGGTCTACACTGGTAGGACAAAGGTAGATGCTGAACTGTTCCGATCCTTCCAATTTGCAGGCCCAGCAAAAGGCAACTGCATTTATCAAGGAAATACTAGGGATGGTTTTATCAGCGGAGATTCTGGATGTAGTCAGAGGAGGTAATTCTTCCATCAGAGGATGAGGATCCTGAGATGGAAGCAACATTGGAGGTGTTGAAGGCATTCCATGAGAAGTTGTTTGAAAATTGATGCTGCCCAAAACCCAGTCAATCAACAGATTGTGTAGGGTGAGCCAGCTATATCCGAGAACGATAAAACAAGAAGAATCCAACAGTGACGAAAAACATATCGGAGGTAACTACACCGGACGGAAAATGAATAGGCAAATTTATAGCTTCGGAAATCATGTTATTACAAGTACCATCAAACAAATGGAGAGAAATCAGAGGTATCGGATATGTAGAAATTTTATGTTTTCGGACAAAATCAGAGTCTATAAAACAATGTGAGGAACCACAATCTATAAGATACAGAAAATCAGAAATATCAGGAAAAGTAGGAAGAGAAATATATGAACAAAGAGGGCAACTTCTCCCTTCTGTTCCCAGTATCGAGCATCGATAGTCTGGGCAAGGATCTTGTATTTGGAAAGGGTGGAAGGTTTACCCATGCAACTGATTTCATCTTTGATACAAGCCAGAAGTCCATTATAGAATTGGCATCTTAGGGTACTGTCACCCCAGCCACGGACTTGTCAAGCAAGACGTTGGAATTCATTAACATATTTATTAATGTGTTGTCCATCACGCATATGGAGTTGTTCCAGTTGCATTTCCGTGTCACCAGACAGATCATGAGGTCTGAAATTGGTTTGTAGTTCTAACATGAACATGGAGTAATCATCCATCCAATCTGGACGATCGTCGGTCAAAGAAAACATTCAAAAGTGAATCTGTAAGGCAAGTCTACTGTTCCTTGTCACTCACAATGTTTTTGCTCAGCTGAACAGATGAATTGAATACAGACTGCAATACAAACACTTTCAAAAAGCGAGAGAAGAGCAACATAATGATGAAAGGTCTCAAATACAGTGCACTTCAACCTTGCACATAAGTGAATGGTGGCCAGATGGCTCTTTTGAATCTTTGCCTTGAATCCCAGCCTTTACAGATGTGTATTCTTCCTCAGTCCCCAGGTTATTAGGATCAAACTTGAAAGTTTGATGCGCAATCTGCTCTTCTTCTTCATATGAAGCAGGTGTTTGGGAGTGCAAGCTACAATGTGAAAGTACACATGAGTCAATGTCAAGGTGCGATTTCATAAAATAAAAATGTTATCACTCACAGGTTTTGAACCTGAGCAGTCCAAGAGAAACAGATTTTGACTCTGACGATCATTTGACAATTTCATGTTGAGCAGGTTTTGAACCCATGCAGACAGATTTGGATTCTGTTGCATCAACTGCTTGGCTAAGGCCAGTTAGATGCACTCCTAATGAATCCATTCAGAAGTGGATCCTAAATGTACATTTATCTGCATTTTGTCAGCTCTAACATTAATTTCTAACATCCCCCTTGAGTCCAATCATATGTGATCCTTCATGCTATTGAAAGAACTGCCTTTAGGATTCACTTGTGAATGGGTCCATTGGAAGTGCCTCTCACTGGTCTTAGCCAAGCAGTTGATACTGACACATTTTTTGTATTAGAACATGTCTTGTATATCTGCTCATGTACAGCATTTCAAATGTTGATCTTCATTGGTCTTAGTCAAATTGTCACCAGAGTCAAAATCTGTTTCTCTTGAACTGTGCGGGTTTAAAACCTATCAACAATAACATTTTTATTTTTATTCTCTGAAATCACACCTTCGCATTTTACACATGAATCTTAAAATGAATTGGAAGGCCTCAAATTTCTGGTGGCATTATGACTTTCTTGGAAGAGAAACCAAAAAAACTCAAAGCTGGTGTATGAAACCATGTTCCACTGCTAGCCTTGCAGCAACTTGTTTTATGATTCATGCCAACTGTTGAACATTGTCCGAGTCACTCTCTATCAATGATATCAGAGACTGTCTATGATTCAATATTCAAGGCATGTTCTAATAAAAAAATATGCAGCATTCAATGGGTTTCAGACTGTTAAGGTGCATTTTCATCAAATAAAAATGTTATCATCAGCAGGTTTCAAACCTGCGCTGTCCAAGAGAAACAGATTTTGACTCTGATGATCACTTGACAGTTTCATCTTTAGGGGGTTTTGAACCCATGCAGACAGATTTAGATTCTGTCATATCAACTGATTGGCTAAGACCAGTTAGATTTACTTCCGATGAACTCATTCAAAAGTGAGTACTCAAGGTACATTTATCTGCATTTTATCAGCTTTTTCAATAGCATGGTCAGTGTTGATTTTTTATGCTACTCTTATTGCAAAAGACACAGACTTCCTGCTGGGGGTCTTGACTTCAAGACCTGTTTGTCTAACAATTTCCCTAAAAAAGTGCTGATGGAAGACCACCATGGTGTGTTCATGAGTGAAAACTGACAATGAAAGGATCACACAGTGTATTTTTGACACAGAGTTCAATATATGACCAAAGTCTTGATGCAAACTCAGAAGGATATAAGTACAATAACAATATAATTCTTTCTAAAGGTCTTGACTTGGTTGAAGAAGAAAAAGAGCAGATTACACATCAAACTTTCAAATTTGATCCTAATAACCTGGGGAATTAGGAAAAACACAAATCTATTAAGGCTGAGATTCTTTATTGTGCTTATTCAAGTGATTGCCAGAATCAAAATATATTTCTCTTGGACTAAGCAGGTTTGTAATATATATAATGATGTGTCTTTTGCATTAACTTGTGATTCATCACATTCCACCATTTTGGATTTCATAGAATAGAAATGTTGTTGTTTTTAAACCTGCACAGTCA